AAAAAAAAAAAAAAAAGTCTAGAAATAAATGACAAAGTTCTCTGCCACAAACTAAATGTCGCTTGTAAAAAATGTACAGTAATTCTGGAATGAAATAAAACTGCATACAGAACAGTAGAGAGGAAACTGATCATGGAAGAATTTTCAGTGATCTCTCTCAAACCTGGCCTCACTTTTTCTTTAAAGAATGAGATAATTTCACTTCTATAATCTATAATTCTGATATAAAATATCAATGTGAAACTCAAAAAATCTGAAGCAATTATTTGTAAGAACTTATACTGAGGACTGGAATGGGCTCTGCAGGCATGAAGTCATATTTGAATCCCAGGACCCACTTTAAAAGTCTGGCATAGTTTTGTGTACCTGTAACCCCAGCACTGGGAGCAGAATCAAGAAGATACTATAAACTCACTAGCCAGACAACTGAGGGAGTTTCTGGGTCAATGGGAGGAAAAGACACCCAATATTCTGTTCTGGTCTCTTTATTTTGCACACAGGAGGGTACACACATTCACACATTCAAGTGTATGTGTACCAAAACCACACACCTACACAACCCACATACCAAATTAAAAAAAAATACATACTTATTAAATATCATGAATGAAGAACACTCACTTTTCATTAATAAATATACTCAAAGTTAATACAAAGTGTCAGAAGGAGCAAAATCCACACCGAAGGTTGTTGGGTAATCTAATCCTTAAATCTTCCTGTTTAGTTGCTAGTTAACAGACTAGCTGCTAATCCTTGTCAGGGTTGCCTTCATCTGAAGTAGGCCTGGCACAGCAGCTCAGGCTCCTTGATTAAGGATGTTTTAGGGATAGGTATTTTCACAAAATAAGGCTATCACCATTTTTAGAATTTTTGTTACCTCTATTTAGGAAGCCATCAGGAAAATATCCTTCTTCTTATCCTTCCTTTGCTTCAACAGTTGAGTTGGCAGGTGAAGTGAGAACCATCTCCCTCATTTTATAGAGTACAGAGTCTCAGAAGCAGAAGGAACCCTGGTGGTATGAGCTCTAGCCTTGTCCTCTTTGAAGAAGGATAATCTAGCACATTCTGCTGATGCACAGAAGAGGGAGGAAGGACAGCAAAGAGGAGGAAGTTTGCCTAACAAAAGGCCACTGGCCTTGAATGAATCACGAAGATTCTATAGTACAAGAATAATAAGCCTCATTATAAGAATGCAACTTTTTACTTTTTCTTTGAGGTGTAGAGCTCAAATCCAGGGCCTTGGCATATGCTTGACAACCACTCTCCTCTGATCTGCACCCTCAGCCCTGAGTACTACAATTTTAAATGCTTAGTAACTTCCAGGAGCCATTACAGGAACACCAGAGTTCTCACATCTAGGACTGATGTTTATGCATCATTTCCATACAAAAAGCTCCTGATCAGATCCCTAAAATCTAATGAGTTTGTTTCCTTACAAGAAAAGAACTGCTTTCATTTGCTGATAGTTTGCCCACAGTATTACAGGCATCAAATACCACACTTCATGCTTACCTCACTCTGCGCTTTCAGAAGCTAACTTCTAAAACCCCACCTTATCATAAGTCCCAGCTTCACAGCATTTTAGTTATTTATTCAACAAACACCTGTGAGCATCATGCACCTGGCTCTAAAGACACAACTCTGGCAGATTATGGGATACTGTAAGCTATGGTTGGTCAACAAGCAGAAGAATCTGGCTTAAAGAATCAAGTCCAATTGAAGTTTCAAGTCTGATTTATTAAGTTACATCTTGAGCATAGCAGGTTGTCAGGGTGGGTCTACAACTGTATCCAGAAGTATCACGCTCTCCAAAGTTCTCCTGGGTAAAAGTGGGTAGAACTATGCAGCATGCATCCAACACTGAACCACACACTAACAGAACTGTTCTCAAGAATACAGGAAAATCTAGATAGTCTAAGCTTAAATGGGCAGGAGGCAAAGGCCTTAGAAAGGACTCCGGAGTCCTTCAGTCACAAAGAAGTCTCCTGGGTTGTCATAGCACCCCAGATAATAATTAGCTTCCAGCTGAGGGCATCAGGAGCTGCTCACTCTTATGCAAGGTATGGTTGTGAATGCCTATGATTCAAGCCCTTTGCCAGGCTGAAGCAGGAGGACCACAAGTTGCAGGTTAGCTTGAGCTATATAGCAAGATCCTGTTTACAAAAACAAAACACTTCTTCAAAAGAAATAAGAATCAGATGACTTCATCTCACTGTTACCTCTAGTCCCAAGAGACAAGTAACCAAAGACAAAATTTCTAAGAGCTTTTTAACTTTTTAACCAGTGACTTTTAAAAAGCTTTTAACTTTCAAATAATCACTGATCAAAAGTTGCAAAAGATTTTACAGAGAAGCCCTAAGCACCTTTCTAATACCTTTCTAAATTAACTGACTGTGCTTCTATCAATGAGCAGGGCAAAGTCGGTGGGTCTGTTCTTAAGAATATAAGGTTCCCTGTACACCTCCCAAGAACCCAGTGCCTCTGAAGTGTTCAGTACTCACTGACTTACTTCCTAGTGAGAAAGGCCATAAGTTTATTTGCATTCATTCAATACTTTACTGGGCACATACTATGTGACTATTCTAACCAAACAAAACAAAACCTTACCAATATTTTACTGGGCACATACTATGTGACTATTCTAAAAAACAAAACAAAACCTTACCTAGAAAAAAATGTTAAATACGTTAACACATTAAGCAAGAGTCAAGTGCTGTGTGAAAATTAAGCAAGGAAAGAAGAAAAATGGGAAGTAGAGAGCTGAAATTATAAGTAGTAGAATCTAAGAATGTCTCACAGAACAGGAATAAGTGAATGTTCAAGAAAGAATCTAGCACTTAAATTTGTTCATAGACTAGAAAGGAGGCTTCTGGGGCAAGCAGAGTGTGAGACAGGGAGCTTAAACTCTCCAAGGACTGATGGGGCCACCTCTTCCCAAAAGGGTCTGTATTCAGAGCCCACAATGGCTCCACACTTGGGGTCCACACAGAAAAGGCCAACCTAAGTATGAACACACTGTTAAAGGCCAGGCAGTGGTGACACATTCCTTTAGTGCTAGCAGGAGGCAAAGGCAGGCAGATCTGTGAGTTCAAGGCCAGCTTGGTCTACAGAGTAAGTTCCAGGACAGCCAAGGCTACACTGAGAAACCCCGTTTCAAAAAACGAGAAACATACAAACAAACAAACAAAGTAAAGAAAATACTGATACAGGTAACAGGGTCCTAACATATTAGGTTAGAAACTGTCGAGAAGCACTTAAGTCCTGGCTTTTAATGTCACCCAACAGATCGCTCTTTTCTTTAAAAAAGCAAATAAATGAACAAAATTATCTTACAACAGTTAGAGTTCTGCCTTTGGGTAACCATGACAATAGACAGGTCAATATAGTCTTCCTGATATCAAATAGTGCTTTGTTTTTTTTAAACAGACAAATCACTAGCAATTCAGATATGGTGCCTAAAAGGATGATCAGCTGTATGTCCAACAAACGGCGACCCAATTTTCCCTAAGTCCAATCTGAAAACGAAGCTACTTTTGCATTCTTTTTCCTAAGACGCACTTAAAGAATTCGGAGAAATCATCTCCTAAGCACAAGGAAAAACAAGTTTTTAATACAGCCACATAACACAAGTTGGAGCCTAAACGGATGAGTCCCTGATAACTCTAACAGCAGTATACAAAAGCACCTCTTAAAATATCGTTGGGAAGCCTATAAAATGTTTATTTACAGGTAAATGCTTTTGGAATTTACAACTATAAGACAATTTTCCGCGCCCCAGGCTGTGAACAAGCCTCGGAGCCTTCATTGCCCGCCTCTCTACACCAGAGTTTCTGCGTCCCGGGTGCAGCGGAGGCGGCCGGCGTGCGGACCCAGGTTGGCCCGGAAAGCCTCGTCCCCGCGCCTCCCCGCCATGCGCAAGGTCGAGCGGGGCCTAGCGGTGCCCAGAGCCCAGCCCGACTGAAGGCTGGCCGCCATTTCCGGCTGTGGGCAGTCTTCACCTCGTTCTGCGGCACCCTCACCCCGCTCCCCTCCCCTTCACCCGGCTCCCGCGGCTCCACCTAATTTGAGGGCCATCCGGCAGTGAGCTCACCTGTGGGCCCGCCTGCCGGTCCACCGGTTCCGCGGCTCCGCTCTCCGTACCGCGGCGCTGCTGGGCAGCCGGCCGTCCTACAGCTCGGCCTAAGGATCCGGGGCGGCGACAGTGGTAGCAGTGGCAGAGGACGGCGGAAGCAGCACCGGCGACAGCGAGAACGCGCACGCTCACGAACTGGCACTCGCGCCCCCGGAAGGACGAGTGCTCGGCGGGTCAGAGCGGGCTGCGCAAGCGCCCAGAGCGCCACACAATGGCTCCGCCCATGGGCGGAGCGAACGTGGCAGTATTGCGCGGAGGCTCGGAAGCTGCGGTAGAATTCGAAGGCGGTGGACCGGTGGACCGAATTCTACCGGAGGATCTATGGGACGAGTTAAAAGTGGTGGGCGAAGCCTGCAGCTACTAAGCCGGACGCCACCGCCGCCAAGCAGGGACAGAGCCTAGGCGTGAGGGCCGAGCCATCACCTCTGGACAAGAGGTGACTCAAATGCCCTGGAAAGCAGACAAGCAACACTCCACGGAGTAAATGCGCCCTTATCTTGCGGTTGAGTTTGCTCAGTGCTTCACTTAAGCCTCAAAAAATTTACTAATCCTTACCAAAATCTAGAGAGGGAGATGGCGGGGAGAGGGAGACCTTCATCTTCATCTTTAGCCATTGCTGTGGAACGTCTTTGTTCATCTCTGGAGACCACCCAGAAAGGACTTCTTTCCTGCTTGCCTCTCCAATCACTGAAAAACTAACCATTACTTAGCGATCCTCTAGGAATCACCTGCAATCATGTGCTGGGACGGATAAGGACTTTCCTTCCCACTCTCCCGTACAACCCTTGTTCATCTGTTCATTTATCTGGTCACCCTTGCCTATTACCTCTTGTATTAATCCTACCATTTAACTGGGCATGGAGGCGCACACCTTTATTTCCAGCAGTCAAGGGACAGAGGCAGAGGCAGGTGGATCTCTGAGTTTGAGGCCAGCCTGGTCTACAAAGCAAGTTACAGGGCAGCCAGAGCTATTACACAGAGAACACTGTCTCAAAATATAAAAAATAACCCCACCATTTCAAGTGCTACTGTGTTTTTAGGCAGATACCCAGAGCTACCAAAACGGTCTTTGTGGCCAGTGCTCCTACACTTTCACTTTCATCCTTGCCTACTGACCATTTTATAATTTTTTTTTAGATTATAATTAAATCATTTCCCCTTTCCCCTCTCCAACCCTCTCATGATACAACACTCACATTCTTTCTGTTTCAAATTCATGGCCTTTTTCTTTGTTGTTACATATGTAATTCCGAGATGTATGAATACAACCTTTCCAGTCTATTGTGTATATATACACAACATACATACTTGGATGTGTATATGTTTTCAAGGCCGACCATTTGGTATGGGATAGCCAATTGTTGTGCTCTTTCCTCAGGAAGATTGTTTCTCCAGCTCTCAGAATCCCGCAGTTGCCTGTATTTCTTTGTTTAGGACTGAGGCCTTGTGGGCTTTCTCCCTTACACATTAGCATGTCTGCTGATGTTGTCCTTGTTCAGGTCACAGTTAGGCAGCCATGTTGGTTAGACTTCATGGATCTAGCTTCTCTGACATTTCTTGGAGACACCATCTTACAGCAAACTTCCTGTTCTTTCAATCTTCCCTTCCCCTCTTCCACAATGATCCCTGAACCTTAAGTGCAGGAGTTGTGTTGTAGATATATCAGTTGGGACTGGACTCTACAACTCTGCATTTTGATCGGTTGCAGTTTTTCTGTAATGACCAAGGGTGAAAACTACACATATCTGTGGGTATAAGGATAAATATTTAGGATGTAATTAGGGATTATGCTGGTTTAGTAAAGTGATCCAGGACTTCACTAGCCCCAGATAGCTGGCTAGGTTTCCAGTATCAGGCATGATTTCCCTCTTGCTGAGCAGGTCTTAAGTCCAACTAGAAACCTGTCAGTTATGACCAAAGTATGGGTGCAATTAATGTGACCATAAGTCAGCTGTCAAAAATAAAGCAAATAGCACTCAAGGCCTTCCATAATGCACTTAGTAAAATCCAATCTTTTCCAGCAGGGTCTGTTCACCTCATCCAACTAGATGTCTTCTCCTTTCATCTCACACCTTTCTGCACTCTGGCTGAATTTGAATTGACACATGTTCCAGGCTCAGACTGTCAGCAGCAGATAGCTCAAGAAACTCAGTAAATTGCACAACATCAACAAAGTAACAAAAAAGGCTTAAGAAAAATCAATAAGCAGAAAGACCATTTATCTATTGACTCAAGAGAAGGAAAGGCTGGGTGGTGGTGGCCCATGCCTTTAATCCCAGCACTAGGGAGGCAGAGCCAGGTGGATCTCTGTGAGTTCCAGGCCAGCCTGGGCTACAGAGTGAGTTCCAGAAAAGGCTCCAAAGCTACACAGAGAAACCCTGTCTTAAAGGAGGGAGGGGGAGAAAAAGCTGGGTACAATAACACAAGCCTGTCATCCTAGTAGAGACAGAAGGTTCTTGAATTTGAGGTAGGGGTTATATAATGATCATTTGAGAGAGAAAACATGAGTAAAAAGATTCCACAGTTGGAAGAAATAGCAAAATGGACCTGGAACCAACTGAAGACTGAAGCTATAAAGCTGTCTATGTTGGGAACTGCAAGAAAATTAGTCAGGCCTTCAGTGAATCCCTCCAGATCCAGGATTTTCTCCTAATATCCCCAATTACATAAGTTTTATGTACTAAGATGTTTGTAGTAGTGTCAAAATAGTGAAAATGGCAAAAACAAAAAACAAAAAACAAAAAAACCCACACCTTTAATTGGGAGATAGCAGCAGGCAGATCTCTGCAAGTTCAAGGTCAGCCTGGCCTACAAATTGAGTGCCAGGATAGCTAGAGCAACACAGAGAAACTGGGGGGTGGGGAGGGAGATTTATTATAATAGTGAAAATGGAAAATTGCCACCCAACTGTACAACACATTCAAATGGAATACAGCCATTTAAGTATATACAAAATAGCTGGGCGGTTGTGGCGAACACCTATAATCCCAGCATTCGGGAGGCAGAAGCAGGCAGATCTCTGTGAGTCTGAGGCCAGCCTGATCTACAGAGTGAGTTCCAGGATAGCCAGGGCTGTTACACAGAGAGACTGTCTCAAAAAACAAAACAAAAAACCCCCACAGATGTTCACAATTAAGTTTTTTATTTGTTTTCATTTATTTATTTTTCTTAAGACAGGGTTTCTCTGTGCAGCCCTGGCTATTTTGGAACTCTTCATAGACCAGGCTGACCTCAAGCTCACAGCTATCTGTTGTGAAATAGAATATTTGTTTAACTACGTAAAGATGTATCACATTTGTGTTTCAGAATAATTAATGATGTAAAGATGTGTTGCATTTGTTTATGCTGCATTTGTTTAACTATGTAAAGATGTGTTGCTGTTTCACCTTGCCTGCCTAAGGCACCTGATTGGTCTAATAAAAAACCTGAATGGCCTGTTGCTAGACAGAGAAGGGATAGGTGGGGCTGGCGGGCAGAAAGAAAAAGGGAGCCAGCTAGCGAGGGGGGCTGTTGTAGAATATTATTTTAAGGTGTGTTACTTTTATTTATGCTCTGGAACATTTGTTTAATGATGCAAAAATGTTACATTTGTTTGATTAAATAAAATTCACCTGTGGTCAGGAAGCTGAGTCAGCAAATAGCTGACAGGAAGTGGCAGGCAGAAGCCAGGTGGAGAAGGGTTTTTAAGTGGGGGTGAAAAGAACCAGGACTTTTTGGGAGCCCCAGGCAAGGAGAGGACGTGAGCAACTTACTATACAGCCTGAGGAGCAGAATTCCACCTCAAACTTTAATCTTAAATTCTTTAAAGGGACAGAGATTTAGAGAAGTTCCCTTCCTAGCTTTGAAAGAGTTGGTGCCTGAGGAAACAGAATCCCCTCAGGCTGTGGGCCTAGTAGCCAAACCGCTAACTGATTAAGACAGCCATAACTTAAAAGGTAGCAACAGCCGGGCAGTGGTGGCGCACGCCTTTAATCCCAGCACTCGGGAGGCAGAGCCAGGCGGATCTCTGTGAGTTCGAGGCCAGCCTGGGCTACAGAGTGAGTCCCAGGAAAGGCGCAAATCTACACAGAGAAACCCTGTCTCGAAAAAAACCAAAATAAATAAATAAATAAATAAAAATAAAAAAGGTAGCAACAATTAAAAAAAAAAAAAGGACAACAGGGGACCAGCCATTCAGACAGAGGCAGGAAAGCAGGATGGATAGTACATAGATGAGGTAAATGAGCCTTGGGGCAGAACACAGATTAACATAAATGGGTTAATTTAGGTTAAAAAAAAAAAAAAGCTGGCTAGAAGTATGTTTAAGAGAAGGCAAAGCATTCCTAATTATTAGGTCTCTGTGTAATGATTTGGGGGCCGGCGGTCCAAGAAAGCCTGCTACAGACATTCACCCGCCTCTGCCTCCCAAGTGCCAGGATTGAAGGTGTACACCACTACGCCAAGTAGTAATCCATGACAGGAAGATTATCTGACAGATACTGGCAGCAGTTAAGAATTTAAGGGGTTTTTCATATTTGCCTTTGATATTAAGTGCTTTATCTTATCCCTTCATTTAAATAAGGCATCCTCAATCTGAGTCTTCAGATATCATCACTATTCCCCAGTACAAACAAACCCCTCAAATGTGCCCTGGCTCTACCCATTCCAGTCCACCATACTCTAAAAGACCGTCATCACACCTCATTTTATTAGACTCAAAGTTGCTCAGAGGAACACATCTTCCTCAAGGAGTGCAACTCCTGAGAACTGGATCCATGAACACAATCATGCACCCACAAAGCCTGGCAAAGAGTCTCTTATCCACTGATCAATTTAAGGTATGGGGTTAATGATCAGAGTGCACTGGATTGTCTTCCAATATAACCTAGGGTAAATACTTAATTTCTAGTCCAGATCCAGTTGCTGCCCTGCTGTCTGACCTTGTCCAGTGTGAGAGCGACTCCCCATCACACTCAGTGCTTCTGATCTGGACAACTCCAACTTAACCTGTTCACTAAGCACTTAAGGTTCTTCAATTATTCATCATTATTTCACATGGCCCCTTATCTGCAGAATAAGATCATTATATCGCCTAAGGGTTGTTGTGCCATGGAGTGACAGTCTTCTCTCAGTGGGGTTTAAGATGCTGGTCTTCCCAATGCCCACTCCTGCCAGGTAAGCTCCTGGGTATGACCCAGACACACAGCAAAGACCAGCAAAGCTTGATGATCACAGGGACAAAAAGGCCCCTTCAGTGGATCCAATCTCGATAATGGACTACTTCAAGTCTCTTAACTGCATGCCTGGTATGCATCCCTGGTCTCATCCAGAGATGCAGCTTCTATACAATTCCCTCCCTTTATATGTACACCAAAGACTTGTAATTTGTACGATTGTCTCCTGCCTGCTGCCGTTCAAAGCAAGGAACCATATATTTACCCCGACTCTTTTGTCATTATCCTAAAAGACACACCAAACAAATGGATGTGGATTTTACTCCAAAGGAATGCTTTATTGACAAGTTGCCTGTTATTCTTTGTAGGAAGATACAATAGTGACCTGCACTCCTGTAGCTGCCTCCTCACACAAGTATTGTTTTTAACCCTGGAAGAAAAAACACCAAGATGTCTCTTCTTCAGATCCCCAGTTCCTCACTGTTCTTTGCTTTGTGTGGTATAGTATTCAAAGTGTATTCAAGGTTCTTGATAATCAAAGGATATATCACACTGTATCAAACCAGACACTAAAATGGACGGACCCCACTTCATCCAAGGAGTGCAGATATGTGCACACAACAGACAAAGTCTTTGCCCTGCTAAGAGCCATTAAGGCACAGTGTTGCCCCTCCCTCCAGACCATGCCTCCCAACATTCAGGGCCCTGGCGTTGAGAGGATGCAGAATGTGGCAATTGGAGGCAGGAGAAGGGAACTTAGAAATCTTTGTAGCTCCTGAGAAAAGATGACAGCAGAGTTCTGGCTGAACCAAAACCACATCCCATACCTGACCTGCAGCATTGGTTCTGCTTTTCATTTATTCTTTGTGTAATGGACAGGCAGGCAGGAACTATGAACCAGAGCCCCGCTCACTGTCAGTAAAGCAACACTGTGCAGGGCACATCCCATTAAGATGCCAAAGATTGAGGCTTCTTTCCTTCTCTCAGCCCTCCTGACCCACAAACACAAGAGCCTTGTGGGCAGAGTGGAAAGCTACAGGGAAATGCCATTCTTCAAAAGAACCAAGTTTTGCACACCAGGAGAAAGTGTTAGAGAAATAAAATGCACTAACTGGTACTGGCAGAGTATGAGATGGGCCAGAGATAAAACTCTACATAGTACTCATAACCCATTAAAGAACCCTCATTTATAGGGATATAAAAGACTATAAACAAATAAAGCATAAGGCAATGTAAGGCTTGAATTCAAAGAAATATTTCTCAATAATGAGGCTAAAGTTGTTTTGCCTCACTTTTTTTCTATTTAATTTTTGAAAAGTCCATCACATTTAAAAAATAGTGGATTTGCTTCTGCCAAAGCCAGATTGTTCTCTAAGAATGAAGCAGTTTATGTTTCCTTTCTAGGGTCTCAGAAAATAGAGAACTCTCGCATTCCTCAAATCCATATGAAAAACTGTTACCATGCAATATGACCTAGGTGAGTGTATTCCTTCTGAGCTAGGGGGAGGAGGGCAGGCAAGGAAATGATGTTCACTTAATACCCCTGACAATTCTTCCCTCAGCATTCTGGTGAGACCATGGGCTCCTGTTCAATACTCCTCGGGCCCTTCCACCCTGTCCACTTCCTGTGGCCCTGGAAAGGATGGCACATTGATCTGCTTCATCTATGAGCTTTAGTGTAAAACATTTATGTACAAGACTGTTCTCTAATTCATGCCAAGGCAGCAGCCACATCTGCATGTAGATGGATATGACTGTCTTCAAAACCAGCTCTTCACTGGCCCTGGCTGGTTGCTCTGTCATGCAGAGTTGCAGCTGTGATGATGATGGTGTGCTTCTGTATTCTGTGGATGATAAGCTATGACAAGCTTAGAAAGGGGCATGATCCGGTAATGGCTGCTCACCACTTCCAGGTGAGGAAGGGAGGTTATCGATGCCATTCTCTCTGCTACCCACAACCTTAGACTATAGAAAAAAAAAAAAAAACAGAGAAAGTAAACCTAAGACACAACAGAAAACAGAATAGGTCCAGGGAACACGTTCAACTCCCTACACAAGTATACACAACATGAACACTAGTCATCAATGAAAAGAAATGAGTCAATAACACACAACAGTCTGTATAGGTTCCCCAAGAATTACACATTGTGATATTTAGAAAAGCATTCAAACTGTGTGGTTCCACTAGATTGATTATATTTTGTATATTAAGAAACATATATCTGGGGAAGGGAGCTGAAGAAATGGCTCGTTAATCTAGAGCACTTGTTGCTCCTGAAAAGGATTCAGGTTTAGTTCCTAACACCTACATAGTGGCTCACAACTGCCTTTTTCTGACTGCCACAGGACCAGTGCATATACATACTCGCAGGCAAAACACAAAGTAGAGAAAAAAATTTTTGAGACAGGGTATATTATATAGCAATAGCTGTCCTGGAACTCTCTATGTAGACCAGACTGGCCTAGAATACACAGAGATTTGCCTGCCTCTACCTCCCAACTGCTGAGATTAAACATTTTGATTATGTGTGCATAGTATGTATGAATGCATGTGCAGATAAGAGGTTGACATTAGATATTTTCCTTAATCATTCCTCATATTATTTACTAAAGCAGATTATCTCACCGAACCCTGAGCTGGGTAACTTAGCTAGCCTAGCTAGCCAGCTTGCCCTGGAGATACCTGTCTCTTCAACTCCAGAATATTGTGGGATTATAGGCAGCCTACCTATACCTACTGACTTTTTCATGCTAAGGATCTAGGTTCCAATCCTTGGACCATCAAGAATAGACTCAGCAGGTAAAGGTTCTTACCACCAAGCGTGACCACCTGAGTTTGATTCCTAGGATCCACATGGTAAAAGGAGAGACAAGTTTTCTTCTGATCTCCACATGTGTGCCATGGCATATATATATGCACCCTCCCCCAAATAAATTTTAAAGAAGAGATAGAACTGAATTTGAGTTCTCACTCTTGTGCTGCAAGTGTTTTATCCACCGAGTCATCTCTACAACCTAAGAGACATTCTTGAAAGGATAAAATAATAGAGATGAGGAACAGATTAGGGGTTGGCAGGGCAAAGGAAAAAGGAAGATAGGCATGACTGCAAAGGTACTGATGAATTAGAATAGTGACTTAGCTGGGTTTGGTGGCATACACCTATAATCCTAGGACTCAGGAGGCAGAGGCAGGTAATGTGAGTTAAAGGCAAGCCTGGTCTACAGAGTGAATTCCAGGTCAGCTAGAACTGCTACATAATGAGACCCTGTCTCAAAAAGAAAAAATTAAGAACAAACAAAAACATGCTGTTTTGTGTTCAGAGACTTTCCTCAAGTTCTGTAAGATATTATTACTTAAGGAACAACATGAGAGGCACAAAAGACCTCTATATGAGTTCCTGTAATAAGTGAGTCCTCTATAATAAAGAAGTTGATTCAATAGATCATACCCATGCTTCAAGAAAACATACAGCCCCAAGGATAGTTACCTTTATGGTCCCCACTCGGTCTTCAAATGACTTGAAGGTTGCAGAGTTCCTTTAAAGAGAGAAGGGAGATGTTGACATGAAGAACTGGTTTGTCACCTCACCTTCCTCACATCGAAGGACCTAGGGTTAGGACTATGTCCAGCTCCTAGACTCTCATTATGAAAATGTGATACAGCAGAAAGGAGTACAATGACTGCAGACTCTACACAGGGTCATTTTTGGGTGCTTTCCAGGTTGGGTCCACATATCATTTAAGTGTACTGTAAACCCCTGACTACAGTGTGCAGGATCCTTGCTGCAATCTAAGTAGACAGCCCTTGATTAAGCTTAGATGCAGCTCAATGGGGTCACCAAGCATTGAAAACATAAAAGACACCCTTGGGTATCCCCCTTCTAGGAAAGTGAGAATGTGGTACCTCATTATCACAAATCATGCAGTCAAGTTCCCACATTTTAGGAAATCACTGGAGTCAACACACCTAGAGTATAACTGAACATCACCCCAAGAAAACCACCTCTTGATCATATTATCTTCTGGGTTTTTGTTTTTTGTTTTTGGTGTGTGTGTGTGTGTATGTTGGGATTATGAGAAGTCCTGGAGCCCTTCAAGTTTATCTTCAGACAAACAACATAAAAGGGAAATCACAGACAGTTTTGGAATAGTAGAGGATAGAAAGACAGAGAAAGGTCCTCACACACTAAGACACAACAATCTTCCTAACAAGGATGGACTTTGCTAAGGCACTATGCTTGGCCAAAGAGGTGAGAAGCAACGGACTAGAGATGGTCCTGTTGGGCTCTGAGAATCAGGTCTCCAGAGATCCATCTGTGGAGGTCCCAGGTCCATGTGCCAGCCTCTCTAACCCTCCCTGCTAAAACCACAGGCATCCAAAGCTAGAGCTTGCAAAGTAAAGTATGGGTCATAGGTTCACAGAATGGTTCCCTAAACCTAAAAAGAAATTTCCTTCCCATGAGCTCTTTCTTGCCAGTCTACAGACAGTCTTTACCTGAGAGGAAGCTGCCAGGAAAATGAAGACATAGATTGGGGGACATAGAAGTACAAGTTTATGACTGGTGTTGCTGCCCACCCCCACCCAGAGACAGTTCTAGAGCAATGGAAGTAGGCATACATTACCTCATGGCCGGCATACTTATCGAGTGACGGATGGAGTAGCTGCTGCTTGGAAGCATGGTGAAAGCAGAGAAGGAAGCAAGAATTAGCCCATGGTGCCAGATCAGCCCACACTTGCCAGCTTAGCTCACATATAAGAAGAGACAAAACTCTACAGTAGAGTAAGCTACTGACCCTTTCCACACAATGCCCTCTTCTAGCTCCAAAGGTTTCCAATGCTGCCATTGCTGAACAGTGTGGCACTAACCAAGAAGAGTATTAAAAAAGGGAAACTGAAACTGGTGGTGTACACCTTTAGTCCTACCACTAGAAAGGCTATTTCTGAGTTCAAGTCCAGCCTAGTCTTCAAGATAAGTTCCAGCCCAACCAGGAATACATAGTGAAACTCTGTCTCAAAACAAAAAACAAATAACAAACAAAACAGGGAAACTGTAAGGAGACCTAGGCCTGGGGCTTTTGGGAATATTTGTTCCACAGTCCTCAGGGGCCCACAGCAAGCTGAATGATGTTTTGGCAAAAATGTAACATCCAGGGTAATTTAAAGTCACAGATTGCTCTGATTTGACTTCAGACCTCCCAATGCCTACTACTAGGATATGGGAATACTGCAGATGTCAGCACGAAGGCTCCTGGAGAAGAGTGTCTGAGGGCTCTCAAATCATTAGACACAACTCAGTCTGGAGCATAGGATTGCTTCTCACAAACAAGAACACAGGGTCTGTACATTATAGGATTGAGAACACAAGGGACAGGGTTGGTATTTCCTCCTATGTGAAAAATGCTTCTTTTCAGGCATAAACTTAGGTATGGACATTTGCCATATAATGTTAGTTCAATAACTTATTGCCTCAGGAACATGCAATCCAATGAGTTCCAGATGAGGCACTCAAAGGGGACAGTCATTGGAAGGATTATGTCCTTAATTACATCACCAGCCTGCGACGGCGTCCCAGCCTGAAAAGCAGGCGGGCCCTCTGTGTGTTCCCTTCTCTTTCTGCTCTCTCTCCTTCTGTCTGTTCTCTCTCTCTCTCTCTCTCTCTCTCTCTCTCCCCCTCCCTCACTCCCTCTCTCTCTCTTCCTCTCCCAATAAAGCTCTAAAAAGGTAACTATGGCTCATGATTCTTCTGCGACCCACAGCATCCATCAGCATGGCCGCCTCAGGCGGCAGTCAGCCACAAGCACTGGTGCATCACCAACAGTCATATAGACCATGCCTTGTGAGCAAGCAGCTGCCTCCTGGGTACCATCCTGAGGCAAAGGGGGCTTTCCTACTTTTATACAGCAAAGTCTCCCATAGGCATACCAGAGTCCACCCTGCCCTAATACAGGTGTGTCCATAGGTCATGTCCAAGGTCACCTTACCTAAAGGAGTGTGAGAATGGATGAGCCCTGAGAGATAGCAGCAGGAGAAAAGAAGAAAGACAGCATTATTAAAGCAAGGGAGGCCAATGCCATATAAGACCCCAAACAGAAGCCCTATGTCCCTCTGTTCAAATTCTGGAAGATTAAGTAGGGTTAGCATGTGAAAAAACGCTCTATGAATGCTTCTTTAGTGCTTAAACTGGTAGGAATGAGAGAATACATAGCCCCATCCTGACTCCACAAAGGCTAAGAAAGCATATTTGGCAACCACGTGGTTGATGGCATTGTATTTCTGAGCACTGTTTTTTTTGTTGTTGTTTGGGTTTTTTTTTTTTTTTTTTTGGTTTTTCTAGACAGGGTTTCTCTGTGTAGCTTTGCGCCTTTCCTGGAACTCACTCTGTAGCTCAGATTGGCCTGGAACTCACAGAGATCTGCCTTTCTCTGCCTCCTGAGTGCTGGGATTAAAGGCATGCGCCGCCGCCGCCGCCGCCGCCACCACCACCCGGCCTGAGCAATGTTACATGTATAACAATTCAAACAACTACAGGTTAAGGAAGAGAAAGCAAAAAGAGGTCTAAAGAAAATACCTGAGATATAAGTAGCCCAGTGAGTAAAGACTTGAGATATGACACAGTGAACCAGCCAGGCTGGGCCACACTTCATGTCCATGGAGCACCTTAGATTCTCTGAAAGCTAAACAGTAACCCAAGCACCATAAGATGACCTATAACATACTAGGCTGTATCATGGAGGCCAACCTAGAATATGCATGTCCAAGGGAAGTCCTCCCCATCTAAATTGCTGCAATCTATGAGCAGAGGCTACTCCCAACACAGAAGAAACCACTGAAGAATGCACTCACCACTCCAGGTTTAAGTAGGGTCATCAAGCCTACTTCTCTCTTCCCATCCCAAGTCCAGGGTTTATCAGAGGCCCCTAGAGCTTCAATGACTCTAGGACTGGTCCACCACAGACAGCAACATCCATCTATCCCTCCTAAACTCATGCTATTAGCTTCCTGAGCCTAATAGGCATTCTCAAGAAACTGTTAGCATAATAGACCTGGGCCTCAGAAACCACTGTGATTATGAGATGATGGGGCTTTGTTATGGACCAGAGAGATCAGAGTTCAAAACACTAATACAAACACCAACAGACAGGCTCTCTTCCCCAGGGGAAGACACATAGTAAACAGGAAGCCCTTTGGGCACGGTGAACACAACCAGCACAACCACCCAACTGGAGAGAACCAGTTTCTCGGACCTTGTTCTGAAAGCCCTCCCTGCACTGTGGTTGGCCCACACATGCCAGAGCAGTGAGACCAGACAGCACTATGCCAGCAGCACTGCCACAGGGACCCTGCTAACTGCCTGCTATAGTCCCAAGACTACATACCACAGGGTCAATAGCAAATCCCAGTTCTCTAAGGAGAAAACAGAAACTTTATTTCTTCTTCAAAAAGGAGAAGAAATGAAACAGGATCATATCTAATGCTCCCAAAGAAAGGCAGACCATATAAAACAGTTCAATCAAGATAGCTAAACATAGCCACGTGGTGGTGCTACGTGCCTTTATTCCCAGCACTCCAGAGGCAGAGGCAGGCAGATCTCTGTAAGTTCAAGGCAAGCCTGGTCTACAGTGCAAGTTCCAGGACAGCCAGGACTACACAAAGAAACCCTACCTCAAAAGAACAAAAAACAAAAAGATAGCTAAACAGACTAGGCATGGTATCCACAACTTCAATACACCAATACTCAGGAGATAGAGGCAGGTGGATCTCTGTGGATTTGAGACCAGCCTGATCCACATAGTGAGTTCAAGGCCAGTTAATTGTACATAATGAGACTCTGTCTCAAAAAAAAAAGGTTCAGAGCCATTTCCGTCAACACCAAGAGCTGCCCACCCTATCAGATTTCTACCCAGAATGCTCTGAACAGACTAAAAAAGGAGTAAAAGCTGAGTGTGGTACCCAGGCCTATAATCCCCGAATTTGGAAAGCTGATGCAGTAAAATTATCATGAGTTCAAGACCAGCTTGGATTGCAGAGTAAGAAACTATACAACAAAAATGCAAACACACACAGAGTGAAAACACCTGTAATGAGCAAGCAACCTACTTTTCAGGAAGAACAAAATGGTAGTTCCTGGGAGCTGGCCAGGATACCAGTGGCATAATCAGCAACTACCCACCACTAGACATATCACCTCATAGTTAAAGAAGCCCCAAGCTGATCCTAAAGACAACATGTGACCTGCCTTAATGTACACCCCATCCCATCATGACTCCCAATTCCTAGGCTACATCACTGCTTTGCAAAAGAGCTGCAGGGAAAGAAACTAGTGACCTTTCTTTCCAAGGAATACATAAATAGCCAAAGACAGACAACAGGAGCCAGAGGAATTCTCACAAACAAAGGTCTATAGTAGATCGGTCCAGGTTATCATGGGTGTTTCTATGTTATATGTCTGAACCCTTGACTTGAAGCAGGTTTCTAACTGCTTACCTCATGTCTCCGAGTTTCCTACTGATGGCAGAGCCCATGGTGGACAAGGCAGCAGATGTCTTCTGTCCTGCCTGTGAAAGGGTTTCTTGAGTCTTCTTGTAGCTGGGGAAAAGACACACCACTTAGACTAACTAAACAGCAAGGGCAGCAGCAGTCCATCACCAAAGAAAGTGTATAGAGAGCACTCATGGGAAAATCAGGGAGGAGTTGAGCAGGTGGCAAACACTCACTAGGTGGTGGTGGCATGCTCCCTAGGTCCCTACAATGCTGATCTACTCCAGTTCCTCAACTTCCAATTCATCTAAACCTGACCTGAGACTTTACCATGCTTCTGTTTTCTTATGATACTTCTAACTGCTCAGGAAGCTAAAACCTACTAACTACAGACCACAGACATGCTGGGTCTGGCAGCATACTTGGGCAGGCAATACTGAAGCAGCAAAGGCCAAGAAAGGTCTCAGCTTCTTATCAAGTCAATTTAAGTTCAAAGCTTCTCCTTCCAATTCCCACATAAAACAGTCTTCTGAGACAAGAAAGCACAAGCTGAAGAGCATCCATGAAGGACATCCCCAATGTGGGTTAGCACCTATACAGTGCCTTTATTACACTGAAGAGCCCTTTGATTTCCAGCACTTTCTAGATAATATTCTTCTAGAACATAAACATTCCTTTCTCATGTTCCCTCTACAGTGCATGGGCAGCGTTGGCCCACAACCAAGACCACCAGTCCTATCTCCTCCCATCCCTCTATTGCTTATCCACATATATACACATTACACCAAGATATGGCTCTATAACCTTAACACCAATGGGATGAATGTAATAATGGGCAGAGATATTATGGAGTCCATCATAAGAATCTTGCTTCCCTGTTGGCTTTGCTACCACAAAAAAGGCAGCAGTTTTGAAACAACCAAGATCATAACCAAATAACCAAATGCCGCGTTCAAAACTTTTAGGTCATAGCTCCTCACTGGATTGAGCTGGGGAACTTGAAGCTGAACCAGGAATAGATGGAGACTCATGAGGCTGCTTAGTATCACCATGGTAACCTAAAGCACTTCTCTCCAGCACACCTGGCGAAGCTTGAAGTGGGGTATCAGTAACTGGCTTTCCAAGCCCCTACCTCCTATAGGAGGTCTAGTAAAAAGCACCTGCCAGTCCATAGGTTAAAGACAGGTCTGGTAACCCACAAGGGCCCTGCAGCCTCCTGAGTCTACCCAAGCCCAAGGTACACAGCACTTTCCTACTAAAGCCAGGGAAGCAAGATTCCTATAAGAAGTACACTTCACTGAAAACAAAGTGTTTCTTTAAAACATCAAGTTCAAGGTAACTAAGGTCTGCATTTATTTGCAGAAATATAAATTTAAGATAACTAGTACCTACAAAAAGGAGAAAGAGAAGGAAAACCAGAAAAAGACAGAGGCAGAGAGACGGGGGGAAAGAGAGAGAGAACAAAAACAAATATATTCTAGTCAGTCAGTCATGGTAGCACATGCCTACAATCCCAGCACTTGCGAGGCTAAAGTAGGAGGATGAAAAGTCTGAAGCCAGACTAAACTCCATAGCAAGACCTTATTTCAAAAAAGAGGAAGAGAAGGAAGGAAAGAAGGCAGATCATAAGGTCATCACTCAGGTCCATAGGCTCCAGTGCTGCAGGCCAACTGTGACAGCCTCATATACCCAGACAAACACACTCACTGGCAGCCTGGGAATCACTACATGACACTACTGGGGAAGCTAAGCTCAGAAAGTGGTAGCTGGAAAGCAGAAACAGACAGCTAGGGAGCACTGTGCTGTGCTTCCCTAGACAGCTCCTTTTTGAGACTTAGACCTCTTAAACAGTGGTTCTCAACCGGTGGGTCAAGACTTCTTTGGGGGTCAAGGGCCTTTTCACAAGAGGCACATACCAAATATTCTGCATATCAGATATTCACATTTTACAATTCATAACATAGCAAAATTTTAGTTATGATGTAGCAACAAAAATAATTTTATGGTTGGGGGTCACCAGCATTAGGAAGGTTGAAAACCACTGTTTTAGAAGAACCTAGAACAGACAGGGTATCTGTCAGCAATTGTAGACATGCTTTCCCTGCCCTTTCAGAGTCTTCCTTTTGAGGCTAACCTTACTTTCTTCTTAGGCTTACCAGAGGATACAGCTCCCTGTCCACAGCAACTAATTCTCATAATACCCACACTTGGGCAACCTTGTTAGTATGCAAAGCTAAAAGCAGGGGCTTCTCTGTCATCTTACCCTGATTAACACTAATTCTGCTGTTAACTGTAGCCCAAAGAACTCAAAGTAAAACATGAACCAACTACTAACTACAGAGTTTATATGGTACATTCAACACTGTTGTTTCTAGTTATAGCTACCTAAAAAAGAATGCAACAGGGTTTCATGACCCACAGAACATGGATGCTCCTTTATACACAAAAAAGAAAGAAAGCCCCACCCCCACAGCATCTCAACTGTGTTAAGTGCAGTACAACTCCTAGGACTATAAAATGCTGTGGAATAATTCTCTTCTACACTGTAAAGATTTGTTACTCAAATTAGTTTAATAAAAATGATTGGCCAGTAGCCAGGCACAAAGGATAGGCAGGGTGACCCAACTAGGAGAATTCTGAGAAGAGGAAGGGCAGAGTCAAGGAGTCACCAGCCAGATGCAGAAGAAGCAAGATGAGAATGCTATCTTAAGAAAAGGTAGCAAGCCACGTGGCTAAACATAGATTAAGAATTATGGGTTAATTTAAGTTTAAGAGCCAGTTAGTAATAAGCCTGAGCTATCAGCTGAGCATTTATAAGTAATATTAAGCCTCCAAGTCAATTATTTGGTAAGCAGTTGCTGGGTATTTAGGAACAGGCAAGCTGGAGAGAAACTTCTACCTACAGGCAGACACTCATATCTAATGAATCCCATGTTGTTCCAGTCCTCCAGCATGCTACTGGTTGAAAGGAAACTAAAACACATGGGTCAAGAAGGTCAGGAAGCTTGCACGTATGGCCTTCCTCTGTGAAACCACCAGGCAGAGTCAATCCTGCCAGCAGTCCAGCTCCTGAATTCTAATCAAGATAGGCACTAACCAGGCAGAGGAATCAGAGCAAGTGGTATCTTCAGTCCTATTCCCATTACCCTGGTTTCTCAATGCAGAATGCATCCAGATTAGGAATCACTGCTGACAGCTCTTCCCCCAAAAGATGGGACAAAACCCTGGAAGAGGGCCTCTGTCACAGGAAGTTACTGGAATGGGGTGTTCCATAAGCTACACTTCCACATAAAGCCATAGACTTCTCTGGGAGATAGCAGAATCCCATGTATTTCATGAGACCTCTGTGAAAAAATATTCAAGATGGCATCCCAGACAGCTCTTTGTCTGGCAATTTCTCAAACACAATGAATACACATTTCTCCCAAGACTATCTGCTGGGGGAATATCTTTTCTGTACGCTGTGAATATATATTGTTCCCATTGGTTAATAAATAAGCTGCTCTGGCCTACGGCAAGGCAACTTAGAGGCAGGCAGGAAATTCAAGGAAAAAGACAGCAAAGAGAAAGGTGGAGTTGGAAGAGATGCCAGCTGCCACCGTGGAAGGAGCAGCAAGATGCCAGCAAAGATGCCAATAGACGGGTAATGCCACGACCAAATGGCAACCCATTAATAGAAATAAGTTAAATTATAAGAGTTAGGGGGCTGGAGAGATGGTTCAGCAGTTAAGAGCACCGGCTGCTGCTCGTCCAGAGGTCCTGAGTTCAATACCCAGCACCCACATGGTGGCTCGCAGCCATCTGTAATAAAATCTGATGCCCTCTTCTGGCATGCAGGCATACATGCAGGAAGAACACTGTATACATAATAATAAAATAGTCTTTAAAAAAAAATTATAAGAGCTAGCTAGCAAGAAGCCTGCCATAGGCCATGCAATTAGTAATTAATATTAAGCCTCTGAATGAGGGCTATAACTATCTATAAACTATCTTTTTTTTTTAATGCTGAATGCTATTTATTGGAGGGAAGAGGTCTTAAATACAGACTTACAGCACAATGGGAGAACCTCGAATGTTAGAAGTTCACTACCGATGTTTTACAATCTTGCATCTAAGCTGTTAATGCCCATTATGCAGGATACACAGACAAGGAACTTCCCTTAAGCATTCAGGAGGGTTGAACCCGACAGGGAATTAGCATAGGGAGGATGTCAAGGTCAAGGTCAGCAAGCAAGGCAACAGTTACCCAAAACGGGGGCCAGGGCCCTACAGGTCCCCCTTTTACTAAAAAATGAGCTTCTGACTTAGGTTGCATGGGACGGCAGCAGGTCACCTTACCCGTCATAGAAATGCCTGCCCAGGCCACACAGGCGCTCTGTCTTAGGTTGGTGAGCGCCCCCCAGGCATTACCCATTTCTGAATATTCATTATCATACACGCTCAATTGTGTGTGAGCTGCAGAGCTAACTGCTGCCAAAGATCTCAAAGTGGCACTGGGCTTGCAATCTGTGTGTTCGACACAGAAAAGACCAACAGAGGTCCTATCCCACCCATAGCCAGTAGGCTAAAGGTAACTGAGCCATTCCCTTCCTTAATGAGCCTTACTATAAATTGGGAGTCCTGGCTACAACTATCTTTACATTGAATCTGCATTATGAGCCTGTCTAGGGCTCTAGCAGCATAGATGACAGTGTCTTTACCTAGGGAATATATGCTTCCAGCAAACTCATTGTCTAGTGCAGTCCTGAAGTGTTCATAGGAAAGCTAAGGTGTTGAACCAAAACAAACCAGAGCTTTTTATACCTGACTGCTTCCCATATGACACCAGACCCTTAAGGCCCTACACACACAGTGAACGAAGGTGGTCTCCAGGTACCTTTAAGATAAATAGGTAAATAAGCTCAGCAGAATTTCCTTCAGTCCATGCATGGGAGGACTTCTCCCCTAAGCTTTATAGTAACCATGTCAGCATTTCCTTCTAAAAGCAGACTATTCTCTGGCAGTCAAATCCTGCCAGAAACCATCTCCTCATGGAGATGGTTAAATCTGATTAAATCATGCATCAACCCAGCAGAGGACACAGATATTATAATCAAACTATTACATGGGTAAATGACATGCCATTACCTAGATTAAGGATCTCAAGACAACAGAAGTCACTATAGCTTTCACAGACATACAGGATTATCTACAAGTAATTCATGCTCTACTGACATTTTATATGGCTGACAGTGCAGCACCTCCAGACCACAGAACTCCATGAACCCACCAACATGTGCCACCATTATTCCTACGCCAACCCAAGAATCTCTCATACACCAACAGCTGGGGCTGAATCTGAGGGTAGAGGACAGGAAGAAATCAAGTACAAAAATCCACCACCAACAACAGGTCAGATGGCATCAACCACCATGTCACTGCCACAAGTCAGGGTGTATTTACTATTCAGGGACACTGCCCACTCAGTTCAGGAATGGCATATAATCAGGAAGAGGACTTTAAGCATGATCTGGTGACGGAGTGGATTTCTCTAACTACTGTACTCTATCCTTCTGGTATTTAAAGAATACTTTTATTTATATTTGGGAAGAGAACGATAGCCAGCAAACACTGAAAGACAGTTTGTGCCAAGGATGCACAGCTTCCCTGCCCCAGGGAGACAGAGAGAAGAGTGAGGAAGGACACTGACAGCATGGGCACTCACAGGTCAGACTGGGTCACTTTCTCATTCCACTCTCCAAGTTTCTCAGACGTTTTCACATAGCTAAAAACAGAAAGTCTGTGATGAATATCTGGAATGATTTAAACCCAGGCTTCAGGCTGCAGGTAAGACTCCAGAGAAGACAGAAACACCATCTGGCAAGACTCCTGGTCTGCAGCCCACCCAAACAGTCCAGTGCCATTATCATACCTGTGTAGGCCCAGGTCTAGCTAGGAGGACTATACAGGACAGAGATGACCACACCCTCTCCCAAACACAACACAGGAGCACCTGGTCTTTTAATAGAAGGCTCCAGAGAAGGGCACAGCCCATGGCCCCTGCATGCTCTGAAGTGAGTCTGGACTCAAAGTCCCCAACATCCTAGTACAGAAACATGGGATTCCTATAGGTGAAATTTACAAAATGTGATTCAATTTTTGCTTCTTTAGTAAAAAGCTTCTGGAGACATCCCCCAAAGGAATGTTGTAACAAAGGAGAAATATGGACACAAACATGGCAAACTCTAACCAAATTCTGACAGCTCAGTCACATGTAAGACTAGTACCCACTTCTACAGACCAGAAAAGTTATTCTAAGGACCTCATTGGTGCTCTGACCAACTTGGACCCAGCAGAAACACTTGCTACTTGGACACCTAGCTAAGTCCATCCACCTTTCCAAACACATGTAGATTTCATGCTGTGAGTAAACATAGGCACAGTCCCTAAGAACTCAAGTCTTCTGGTTACCTATTCCCAGCAGGCTCATTTAATACTGATTGTTGCAAAGCATCTCATTCCCCAGCACTCTTATACTCTATCCACAAGAAAGAGGCATACCCCAGTGAACACTTTCTTAGCCAAAGGAATATGGGACCACCATGGGACTGGTACCTACGCAGTAGAGACCTGCACATCATGCCAGCTTCTAGACAGGTTCTGCTTCAGCTCCCCTAAAGTAGAGAGGCCCAGCCTCCTTTTCAGCTCTCCACAGTGCCTCTCTTTGGCTGCCAGGACCTGGCGTAGAGTGACAATTTCTTCTTCCACCTGTAAAAGAAGCAGGGCTGGGGATATAGCTCAGTTGGTAGAATGCTTGCCTTGCATATATGAGGCCCTAAATTAGAACCCCAACACCACAAAAAATAAAATAAAAATGCAGTTGACATGAGAGGCTGTGGGAACCCACAAAGGTTTTCTAGTGAGATCTGAGCTTGCTTTATACAGCAGGGCTGCATTAAGGGATGGCTTGACCACGTGCATGGTCACCAAGTGTTTGAGATGGTCTGCACTTGGCTGTGCTGGGGGGAAGTCTTTTGCTCCACCCCTTGGCATTCCTTTAAAAGACCTTTAGTAGAGATAGAAGGGGCTGGTGGGTTTTGACCCAGGCCCTCCCGAGGCTATCCTGTGTTTCTATCTGTCTCTCTCTTCTATATTTCTATCTAAATCTCTTATCCCTCACTCCTCAAGAGTCCCTGGAGTAAATAGATGTGGGAGCTGGTCCCCCCACAAAAGGCTATGACTACTACAGGAAGTAGTAACCAACAAACATCCTTACCCATGTCATAATGAGACTTTCTAAAGAAGTTTTTACTTACAGAAACAGTTTGTCTTAAAAATAGCATCCACAATGGCAGCTATTCTGCTTTTATCTGGCCTCAGCACCCCAACTTCTGGAAAACTACCCCCACACTAGTCAGTAGTTCTCAAGGACTGCCAACCACTTCTCCCATTTCCCTTAAGTCTCAGGACAACCAAATGAGCCCTATCGGAGCTCTCCTATGAGAGTGGACATGAGTGTTAGGACACAAGTTCCTCTTCCAATGGGTTCTGGGCCTGGCTTAGACATAGCAACTGAATCTGCTAGAAGTAAAGACCCACAGAGGAATGCCCTATATAGTAAAAAGGAAGCAGAATTGACAGAGAAACAGAGACCTAGGTGTGAGAGAAACATTTCTAATGGCAATTATTGTTGTTCCAGAGGCCAGCTCCAAGCCTTAGTGAGAGCCAATTCTCTCTCTCTCTCTCTCTCTCCCCTCCCCCACTCCCTCCCTCTCCCTCTCCTTCTCTCTTTCTGGTTTGGAGACAGGGTTTCTCTGTGTAGCCCTGGCCTTCAGAAATCAATGTGTAGTCCAAGCTGGCCTTGAACTCAGAGATCCACCTGTCTCTGCCTCCTGAGTGCTGGGATTAAAGTTGTGTGCCACCACCACCACCTGCCTCTCCTTTGTTCTTATGGCAGTTTCAGTTTAAAAGAAAGATTTGGGGGTGGGGGAGAGTTTGAGACAGGATTTCTCTGTGTAACAGTCCTAGCTGTCCTGGAATTCAATCTGTAGACCAGGCTCACCTCAAACTCACAGAGATCTGAAGAAATCTACCTGACTCTCCCTCCCAAGTGCTGGGGGATTAAAGATGTATGCCACTTTGCTAATAAGGACCTGAACTTTTAAAAGAAAAGTAACTTCTGGAAAGAACAATTTTTAAAGCTTTCCCACTACAGAATGTGTTCCCAATATTTTTAGTCCCAGTATAAATAGCTACACTGAATAAGAATTCCTTTTCAGTCAGGCATGGGAGTACAGTCCTATAGATAGTCCCAGGAGACAACTGCTTGACCCCCATATGGGGGTCAGACTCCTCAGGAAAAAGATAATAAAAAAGAGCTGGGCGGTGGTGGCACATACCTTTAATCCCAGCACTCGGGAGGCAGAGGATGTCGGATCTCTGTGAGTTCCAGGCCAACCTGGTCTACAGAGTGAGTTCCAGTACAATCAAAGTTGCTAAGCAGAAAACTCTGTCTTGGAAAAAAAAAAAAGGAAAAAGAAACAAAAGTAAACATGGTGCCACTTGGAAGATAGAGAAGCAGATGAAGTAGAGGTCAACCAAAAACAAACTAAAACTAAAAAGAGCCAGTGGACACAAGATTCATGATGTCCTAAAAATGACTTTCAAGTGTTAATACCAGCAAACAGCATACTTGGAGACATTATTGTGTAGACATCATCTTCATGGGGCACCTAGTATTTCCAGACAGAGGTGGTAAGATAAGATCAGGGCCTGCCTCTTCCAACAGGTGATTCAAGTCAACACTTTAGAAGTAGGCACATACAAAGAGAGAACCCAGTAGACACAGAAGGCAGGTAATACCCCAGCAACAGCTCTCTCACAGGATAAAGTGTTCTACTCTCTATATAACCCAAAAGGACTCACAATTACCCCACAACAGGAAATAAAACCAAGACACCTTAGCAAGCTCAGCCCGAAGCTCTTCTTCCTCCACCTCTGTCAGGCCCTCTACAGCTGGAGTTCGGGGGGCCACACCTGGGTCAACAGGGACATCAGTCAGGAAATCAGACAGCACACCTTTGTTAGGAGAATTCAAGTTGATATCTGTCAAAGACAAAAATGAAGTCAAAAAGTGTCAAGTAATTTGTAACTCTACTGGGAAAGAAGCAAGAATGGAAGGAAATAGACGGCCAAAAGAAGCAGGAGAACACTGGAAACTAGAAATACCTCCAAAAGCCTATGATGATGATCTGGGCATTGGATGGAGAACAGCTACTTCTTGGGCACCTGAGATGCAAACCCAATACCACCTGTGTTGCTAGAATACAAGAAACACTAGCTAGTTAAAGCAGCCAAACCATAGGTTCTGGTTTCCCTTTTGAAATATTATCTTCTAAAGCAAGAAACCCTGCTTCAAAGAAAGCAGTCCAATCTAATAAATCTTCCAATTTCCCCCCTCCCCTTGGAGTGAAGGAAGTAAATACAGCAAGCATTACTTTCCATTCAATTCAGGGAATGCTAAACATTACTTACATGAATTATATGCTAGTCATTAAACCCCAATAAGAAATCAGCAAAACAAAAATCACTTTTAATCCCATCCCTGATCCTCTGAACCTCTGACAGGAGACTGCCATATGTACAAAGATAAAAGTACATTCTTCTACACACCTATAATACTAGATCCACTTCAAATTCCTGCAGTCACCAATTTTTATTCACATCTTCCTATCTGCACAAATATCTTAGCAGATACCAAATAAAGAAAGCCATTCTTATGAGCATGATGGCTCACATCTCTAATCCTAGCACTCAGGAGGGAGAGGTAGGCAGACTTCTGTGAGTTCAAGGCCAGCCTGGTCTAAAACATAAAATAGAAAGGAAAACATCTTTAATCACATAAAAGTTTGTCAACTAAACAAATTCTAAAATCTCCTAAATATAAATTGAAAACACTAAAAAACCAGATATTCTACTCAACAGTAGCTAGAAATCTTTTTAAAGACTTTTTTTTTTTTAATCTTTTGTTTTTTTGAGACAAAGTTTTTCTCTGTAGCCCTGGCTGTCCTGGAACTCATTTTGTAGACCATACTGGCCTCATAGATGCACCTGCCTCTTCCTCCCTAGTGCTGGGATTAAAGTAGTGGGCCACCACGCCTAATTGTATTTTTTTTTTTTAAAGTAACTGACTTTGACTGTTTTGTTTGTTTCATGCAAGTAACTTTTGAAATTTTATTTATTTATGGGACAGGAGAGATTGCTCAGTGGCTAAGAGCACTTGCTGCTCTTCCAGATGACCTTAGTTTAATTCCCAGCACCCACACAGTAGCTCATAACCACCTGTCACTTCACTTCCCAGGGGCCCAATGTCCTCTTCTGACCTCCACTGGCACCGGGCACACAAGGTACCATGTGGGCATCAAATTCAGGTAAGCACCTTTATCTTGCCAGTTCATGACTTGAATTTTTATTTTATTTTATTTTATTGGTGTTTTTACCTGTATGTATGTTTGTGTGAGGGTGTTAGATCCTGGGGTTACATATAATTGTGAGTTGCCATGTGGGTGCTGGGAACTGAACTTGAGTCCCCTGGAAGAGCAGTCAGGCTCTTAACTGCTGAGCCATCTCTCCAGCTCCTCATGACTTGAATTTTTAACTGAGATCTTTTTTCTTTTCTTTTCTTTTTTCTTTTTCTTTTCTTTTTTTTTTTTTTTTTTTTTTTTGAAACAGGGTTTCTCTGTGTAGTTTTGTTGCCTGTCCTGGATCTCACTCTGTAGATCAGGCTGACCTCAAATTGCCTCTGCCTCCCAAGTGCTGGGATTAAAGGCATGCATCACTACTGCCCGGCTTAACTGAGATCTTTTAACTGAGAGTTTATTTCATTATTTGTAGTCATTGTGCTGAATCTACTCAAACTAAGTATCTCAAAAATCTCTACAATTATAGGGCTGGAGAGTGTTTTCTGTTGTTCCAGGGTATTGTATTTAGGATTTATATTAGTGTGATAAAACACCATAACTGCCGGGCAATGGTGGCACACACCTTTAGTCCCAGCACTTGGGAAGCAGAGCCAGGTGGATTTCTGTAAATTCAAAGCCAGCCTGGTCTACAGAGCAAGATCCAAGACAGGAACCAAAACTACACAGAGAAACCATCTCAAAAAAACCAAAAACACCATGACCAAAAGCAACTTTGGGAGGAAAGGGTTACTTGACTTACACATCACAGTTCATCATCAAAGGAAGTCAGGGTGGGACCCTGGAGGCAGGAGCTGATGCAGAGGCTATGGAGGACGCTGCTTTTACTGGCTTGCTTCACCTGCTTTCTGATATTATCAGAACCACTTGCACAGGGATGGCAGTAATTTGGGTCCTCTTACATCAATCAATCAAGAAAATGCCCTACAGACTTGCCTACAGGTCAATCCTATGAATGTATTTCTCAATTAAGATTTCTTCTTCCCACCAGGCAATGGTGGTGCACGCCTTTAATCCCAGCATTTAGGAGGCAGAGGCAGGTGGATCTCTGTGAGTTCGAGGCAAGCCTGGTTACAGAGCTAGTTCCAGGACAGCCAGGAATACACAAAGAAACCCTGTCTGGAAAAACAAACAAAACCCAAAAGATTCCTTCTTCTCAATGACTCTAACTTGTGTCAGGTTAACATAAAAACTAGCCAGCACACAGAAGAACCAAGTTTTATGTGAACCTGGCTGGGAAATGGGCTGTGTTTACTATCTGTTGAGGATGCCAGTGACTTCAAATTTGTCCTCTCTTCCTCTCCCCCTCTCCTCTCTTTCCTTTCCTTTTTATTGTGGTGCCAGGCTAGAACCACTGCCTCACACCTACTAGGGAAAGGCCTTTATCACTGTTGTATAAATAGTGTCCTCTGAAATGGAAAGATTCCATCCTGCAGGGAAAGCTCCTTAAGCAGGAAGGCAAACCACTCAAAATAGCTTCAGGAAGTCCCTGAAACTAACTAGATTCACTAAGGCTCTCCCTGCCACAAATCAACAATAAAAGCTGAAACTCCCTCAGAGACGAGTGAAACTGAGCTGCAAAGAAGACTCTCAGAGGAGAAAGGCTGCAAAGAAGACTCTTGAGACCAAGGTGCCTGGAAGGAGCAGAAATCAGGCCAAACCTGGAAAAGGTTTAGACCAACTGAGGCTCCAGGAAAGGACACTCTACATGAGAACTTTCAAAGTTCAATGAATTTGCAAATACCCATCAAAGTAGAAAAACATCCAGAATGTCCAGAATGGTAAGAACCCAGAAATTCTGCTGGGAGGTGGAGGTTGGGGGCACTTGCCTTTAATCCCAGCACTTGGGAGGCAGAAGCAGGTGAATCTCTGATTTTGAGGCCAGTCTAGTCTACAGAGCAAGTTCCAGGACAGTCAGGGAAACACAGAGAAACCCTGTCTCAACGCCCCCCCCGCAAAAAAACAAACAAACAAACAGAAATTATAATGCTTAGGTAATGTGTCTTTGCAGGTCAAACCGTAGAAAAGCTTTTTGAGTTTAGCTAGTATAGTTAAGTAAGCATTCCCACTTGTACCACCGTCTCAAGATTTTAATCTCCTGAGCCTGAGCCACACTTCTCGGTGGCAACCTCATACTGGTCTCTGGTGTCTGTTTTAGCAACAGATCTGTTCTGGGTGTGCCCCTGACTCACCCTACCCTTCTCCCATGAGGCAAACTCCTAAGTAGGTTACAGCGGCGTTACCACCCAAGAGGCACTGCTCTAAACACAAGGATGGTTGCACCGCCCCTTCCTTGTAAAGAGCCGCCCACAATGCCTCGGCTGGAGTCCAGCACCAGATGGGGTATTTATTCCCAAGGGTCCAGCGAAAGATAGAGGGCCGCAGAGCCAGCAAGTGGCGCACAGATAGTGAACCGCATAAGAAGAAATGTCTAGAGTTATGAAACTCTAGGAACCGAGAGGGCGCCGAGGAACGCCACTTCAGAGCGATGCCGGGGAAGGCCCAGGTGCCGTGGCAAGGCAGTAACAGAACACACACCACGGCCATCAGTAGCCTTGAGGAAAAGGGTCTGTCGACCGAAGAGAGAACGTGAATCGGACCAGCAGAGACTGAGAGGACTGGGGGCCCGAGTCGCGAATACCGGAATGCGACGCGGCCCCTGACCATTTGCGGGTACCTTGGCTGGCGGAATCCATATTCAGATGACAGCTGAGCAGTAGCTGGCCTCGGAGCAAGGATCGCAGGCAATAGAGGAGCCAAACACCAAGTACTGGAAGCTGGCAGCCGCGTACACGCGAGCCAGTGGAACTGTCGGGCCGCAGCAGTATTACGTAATCAACGACGCGACGCCTTACTTCCGCCTGGATTTGTGCTCCGCCTTCTTCCCGGCCACCGCTCAAATGGTATCCAATGAGAACGTCCTCTGGCCCTACGTAAGACTAATCGTTCAATTTTATAGCTCCAAACTACAACGAAGTGGGAAGTAATTCCCCCCAGGCTGGTTCCACAGTAAAATTCCTGGGTGAAAAGGCCAGAGCAGCCGAAGCTCGAGGGACGGGTTGGTTTGTGTCTCAGTGCGCTGACCCCCATCATACCCTCGACTGCTCACGAGCTCCTCGACCGCGCACCGCGGCGGGTCAAACTCAGGCCTGTGCACCCTCCAGCCCCCAATCAACCTCTCCCCGCCTCCGGTAAATTATTTTGGTTTTGGTTTTTGAGACTGCTGACTATGAAAACTAGGATGACCTTGAATTTAACGATCCTCTGGGCTCCACCTCCCTAGTGCTAGGATTACAGGAGTGAGCTATCACAGCCGATTTATACCGTATCGGGGATCGAGAATCCCAAACTTAATGCATGCTAAGCAAGCACTCTACCGAATTAAGTTGTACTTGCAGCCTCTTTATGAAGACATTTTTATTGTCTGGGGCTTGCACTAAAAATACAGAAAACGTGATTCGTCTTCTTGCCCTGCAGGTGCCGCTCTCTGCAGCCAGAGGCGGCTCGCAGTCTAGTACTGGAAGAGTTCTCAGAGCCCTGAACACAGTAGGGACCTGTTGACCATCCCAGTAACTGAAGACCAGCCCTGTGCACGCACCCCAGTGCTTTCTCAATTTCTTTTTCGCAGCACTGGAGCCTCCTCCCAGTTTATAGATGAGCAAACTGGGGCTAAACGATTTTTCTTTCTTTCTTCTTCTTTTTTTTTTTTTGTTTGTTTTGTTTTGTTTTTTTCGAGACAGGGTTTGTCTGTGTAGTTTTGGTGCCTGTCTTGGATTTCGCTATGTAGACCAAGCTGGCCTCGAACTCACAGAGATCTGCCTGGCTCTGCCTCCCGAGTGCTGGGATTAAAGGCGCGTGCCACTGCCTTCCTGCACATAAAGTAATTTTTCAAAGGAAACTCCAGAGCTTTGAAGTTATTGTGGTGTTAGTGTGCCAACACTAACAGGAGAACAAGAGTTCCCCTGACTTCAGATGAGGGAGTTGTGACTACTGGGCAGCTGTCTACCAAAAAAAGTCCCACAGTTTCTTTTGGCGTTTGTTTTCTTGGAAGAAAAATCCTTAAATGATATTACCTCTCTTTCAGAATTGCCCCTCCTACAAAGTTGAACTTCCCCTTCCAGCCAGGCCCCTATGAGTACTGGAAGCTTTCTGGAAGTTCCTGGAAGCTTCCCACTACCTTTCCCTTCTCCCTACAGGTGTCTTGCACAGAACTAGATGCTCCATTGACTATGACAGTATCCTGTTTGGGGCTGTCCATTAATGTATCTTCTCCATTTACCATCTTGATTAACCCAATGTGGTCAGCCCCCGTCCACAGGGCTGGAAATGACAAGAAGAGCCAGTAGTTTCTGCTTCATGTAGTGACTACAGTACTGATAGTGGTGAACTGAAGACTTGTCATTCTGTTTTGCAGCCTTTTGTTGTTTGTTTGTTTTTTGAGGGGGTGTTGAGACAAGATTTCTCTGTATTAACAGCCCTAGCTGCCCTGGAATTCCCTCTGTAGAACAAGCTGGCCTCAAACTCAGAGAGATCCTCTTGCCCCTGTCTCCCAAGTGCTGGGATTAAAGGCGAGCACCACCATTCCCATCTTCTGTTTTTCATTCTTGGGCCATGAGCAAAGCCCAGCCCTAGCCCAGGTCTGGCCCAAGTAACAAGTGATCATTTAGTATCTCTAGGATCCAGGCCACCCTGTGCACTGTTACTCTAGGTCTATGGATCTCCCTCATAGAATGTAGAAATGAGAAGGGGGTGCTGCACAGCAGCAGCAGCAGCAGCAGTAGCTGCTGAGATCGGTACTCCCCATACCTCCGTACTTTCTTTTTTCTTTTCTTCTTTTTTTTTTTTGTTTTTTGTTTTTTGTTTTTTGAAATAGAATGTCTCTGTCTAGCTTTGGCTGTCCTGGAACCCATTCTTTAGATCAGGCTGGCCTTGAAACACAGAGATCTGCCTGCCTCTGCCTCCTGAGTGCTACTATTAAAAGCATGTGCCACCACTGACCTGCTAGTACTCGCCTTTTACTAGGAACTATTTGAATGTTTAATTGATGTCCTCTTCTTAGGAGCTACCCTATGGTCCAAGCCTTGTGAAAGAAAGGCACTCCCATAGCCTCACAACCTCCCCTGGCCTCCCATGATCAGACATCACATTACCATAAATTGGGTCAGGTTTCACCTTTACATTCCCTTCAAGAACTAGGCACAGGCATTCAGATGTGTGGGAGGAAGAGAAAGGACAGAAGCAGGGAAGAGCAGAAAGAAAGTGAAGGCAAGTACAGTCCAAAATATACTTGCCCACTCTCCCAGACACCAAGATCCCCAGTAGGGCCAGCTTTTCTGTAGAAGTGTAAGGAGAGGAACAGCTGAAAGGGGGGAGCTGAAAGGTGTATGACTACCCAAATTCGTGAGTCACATAGTCACAAACAGTAGCTACAGTTTCCAGGGCAATTGGAAGTCCTCAGGCTCCAGTGGGCTGCAGTGTGTTGCCTCCAAGTTCCTGAGGTGCCTGCGTGCTAGGAACAATGCAAGCTGCCGGCGCCGCCGGGGGCTCAAGCCTTGGCCCACAAGCCAGGGGAAAGTAGGTCCGTGTGGCCCCCAGGCCTCAGCATCGTCCATCTCCTTCTGGCAACGCTCACAATAAGAACGCAGCATTGCCAAGCACCACTCATCATCAACGTGGTAGCGCGCATAGAATGAAGCTTCTTGAGCCAAGTTACTGGTGCGTAGCCAGCGGGTTACCACCGTGCGGCCCTCGCGGGCCATCACAGAAGGGTATCTGTGCTGTAGCAGACGCAACAGCAGCTCATTACCACGGTTACCTTCCACATCACCCTCCTCTTGACAGGATGGCAGAGTAGTTATATGGCTCGAGGTGCTGACAACATCATCTTGTGTGCGTCTGAGCAACAGTACTGGGCCTGGGTAGCAGCACAGCTGCTCAGCAACATTGAGATTGAAGTGCTCTCGTACAGTGCGTACCACCAGACCCTTCCAACTGTGGGGCATGACCTTCAGCGCTAGTGGCACAAGATCATCAAAGGTGGCATCTAGCACCAGTGCACCCAGTTCTGGGTAAGTCATAGTGGCCCAGGTAGCTGTGAAGCCTCCAATAGACCAGCCATAAACTACAACATGTGCTGGCGGGAAGTTCAGGCGGTGCAGTGCATACTTGACCACCACATCCATTGCGTTTGCATCATGTTGAGGGAAAGGTGCGCCTGTGCTGCCCCCAAAACCAGGGTGGTTCCAGCCTAGCACTGAGTATCCAGCCTCCAGAGGTGCAGACAGGCAGCCCATCTCGTAGAAGCCAGCATTGCCTTCACAGCATATGACCAGGCGCAGTCCACGGCCATGGCTGCCTGGATGCTGACGACGATCCATGAACATAGTGTCAATTTCATTGCCATCGCAAGCCACCAGCTTGGCACGCCGCCCACGGTAGCGCTCCACTAGACGCTCTTGGCCCTGCTGCAGTAGAGGCAGTAGCGCGCGTGTCATCAAGAACATAGAGCCAGGGTATACAAGCCAGCGGCCCAGTGAGTGGGCCAGTGCATAGCTGGCTAGTTGGCTGGGCAGCTCACGGATCTGCTGGAGGAGGCACTGTGCTTGGCTTCGAGCCCCACGCGGAGGCCTTGTGAATGCGTCCCCGCCCAGCGCTGCATCATGTAGCAGCCACACACCTGCTGCAGCTGCAGCACATGTCAAGGCACGATGACTGCTGCTACCAGTGCCTGAGGCATGCACATCATCCCAGCGGAAGTCCACTGGCCAGCTACGGAAGTTGTAAGTGTAGTTTGCTGTCAAGTAGATCTTGAACACATGTACTAGTGCCTTCACAAAGCAGATGACACACATGGGCAGTGAAGCTCTGTGCTGTTCCCTGCTAGCCCCAAGGCCAGAAGGCCCAGTCCTGGTAGTGGAATGGCAGCAGGAGATGCAGGCCCGGCCCAGCGGGCAGCTGCAGGGTCAGGGGCCACACACAGCTCTCTGATGGCATTACTCCTCTTGGTTGACCCCAGTGGCCTTTGTGACCTGTGCCTTGTGGGGCCAAGGGAAAGCTGTATCTATCAGTCTCAGTTTTGTGAGTCATTGTTGCTGGGAGAAGTGACACTAGGGTAACGGGCTCACAAAGGGTTCTAAGGCTTGGTGTACCTCAAGTTCTGTCCCACACCCTAGGACAGTACCTTAGGACCTCACAGCAGCTTCCTACCATGTTTCTAGCACCTTGAGCTTCTTCTACCTCCTCCACTGAAGATAGGCAACCAAAGAGGCTAGAAGAACAGCCTTGACTTCTTCCTTTTGAGAGGAAGAGAGAATTAGGCAAAGGGGATTTCCCACACCTGGGCCAAACTTGTGGGTAACACACTCTTAGACCCTCCTTTGACCTTGAGGTTCACTAGTTTACATTTCCCTGCAAAAATCTAGGTTAGAACAGAGCTGCTCTTGGAGTTAGGTGTGTTTGCTCATAGCCTCACTCCTGCAGCTCCACACTTACCTTCCCTGGAAGAGGGATGAGGGTGGGCTAGAAACATCTTCCCACAACGCGAGCGCACACACACACACACACACACATACACACACACACACCTTTTCTGAATCCTCTTTTCACTGGGCCAACAGCAGCCATGATCTCCAGGTAGGTGCTGCCTAGCTGTGGTTCCTCTTTTTCAACCCCTGGTTGAGTATATCTCTCCCACTTGAACCAACCCACAAACTGTACCTTCCTCTTTTCTAGAGGGTTCTCGTGGGTGAGTTCCCCTTTTTCTCTTGCACTGAAGATGGCCAGCCCACCTGAGGGTCAGATGGAGCAGGGGAACAGCATATTCCAGTGCTCAGGAACTCTTAGCAGTGGTCCAGGCCTGAAACAAATGCAAAAGACAAGGAAATTCAGATTCCCGGAGCCTAAGGGCCAGGACTACTTTAGAGACCTCAGGCTTTTAAGGATGGTGGTTTTCAGGCCCCAGCAACCACTTTCTGCTCTTCCTGCTCTACTTTCCAATTAAGACACTGGCTGTTCCAGACCACTCCACAGATTTTGGACTCAGCTGAGGAATGCTGTTGTTCATAGAGGGAACAGAGGAGTAGGACTGTCAACAAAATTCATGATTTTGAGAAGCTATTCCCCACGCCTATCCCAAACACAGATAAAATGCCTAATATCCACTTAAAGTTGAACTTAAACAACAAAGCTGTGTGTCTCTCTCTGTGGGTATAGGCCTGTCTGTGTTTGTGTGTGCATTTGAGACAGAGTCTCACCTTGTGATTCAAACTATCTTCAAGCTCACAATTCTGTCTCAGGTATGAGTGCGAGGGTTCTAATTGTGGTCCCCAAGACTTTACAGTGGTACAGGAGCATAGCTTTACAAACCTCCTGTTTTCATTTTCAGCTTTACAAACCTCCTGTTTTCACTTTCAGCACAGTACTTGCTAAAATACATGAGGTAGTCAACACTTCGTTGTAAAAAAAATGATTTTTCTGTTCAATGATTTTACCCAGCTATTGGCTCATGTGAGTATTCTGAGGATATTTAATAGGCTGCAGTATGCTGTGGTGCTCAGCATGTTAGATGTATTAAACATATTTTTTATTAAATTGATTTATTGTGTGTGTGTATGTGTTTGGGCATGCACATGCTACTCCATCCAAATGGAGGTCAGAAGACTACTTATGGAAGTTGGTGCCCTTCTGCCATATAGGTTCCAGGGATTGAACTCAGATTGTCAAATTCGGCAGCAAGCACCTGTACCTTATGAGTCTTCATATCAGCCCTTAAGTACATTATTTTTTTAAAAAAAACCTTTTGTTTTAGCCGGGCAGTGGTGGCACATGCCTTTAATCCCAGCACTTGGGAGGCAGAGGCAGGTGGATCTCTGTGAGTTTCGAGGCCAGCCTGGTCTACAGAGTGAGTTCTAGGACAGGCTCCAAAGCTACACAGAGAAACCTTGTCTCGAAAAACAAACAAAAAATTATTTTATATTTAATATGAATGTTTTGCCTGTGTGTATGTACATATACCATGTTCATGCCTGATACCTACAGAGGTCGGAAGAGGGTATTGGATCCCCTGGAACTGGAGTTACAGATGGTTATCAGCCACCATGTAGATGATGAATCCTCTGCAAGAGGAGAAAATGCTATCTGCTGAGCCATCTCTGTAGCTACCATTAAATTTAAAAAAAAAAAAAAAAAAAAAAAACAGGGTCTCTCACTACATAGTCTTTGGCAGTCTTAGACCTGGCCTCTAAATCACACCGTGGTGCTCACCTGTATCCCAGGACTTAGGAGACTGAGACAATATTGCTGAAAGTTCCAGGCCAGCCAGGAACATACAGGGAGACCCTTGCCATCACTCCCCTCAAAAAAAGAAAACAGAAAAAAAATACTTAGAACTTATGGTGTATCTATCAGCATGTAAAATCAAAAGATACCCGTGTTTTAAAGTTATCTGAAATTCTGTTTTGTTGTTTTGTTTTTCAAGACAGAGTTTCTCTGTGTAGCCTTGGCTGTCCTGGAATCTGACTCTATAAACCAGACTAGCCTCAAACTCAGAAATTCGCCTGCTTCTCAGTCCTGGGATTAAAGGCATGTGCCACAATCATAAGGTTCTGAAGTTCATTTTAATGCCATGTCCTGTTTTCAGGTTTGTTTTTCTAAATCTGGCAATTCTGCCCCAGATGCATATGCATCCAGCTCCAAGTCCTAGATTCTCCTGACTGTCCAGTTTTTGTACCAGTTGGGCTTCTCTGCTCAGTGGTCAGGTCTGAAGACTAGGGTATATCTTAAGTTTCTTCAATCTCCTCACCTTTGGTCAAGGATTGACAGTGCCCTGAAGATATCTGTGGTTCTTATACTCCTGAAGTGTCCAGCTCTGTAGGGAAAGAAAGAAGGTTGGGGACGAAGGTGGAAACTTTAGGGAGGGTGGGACATTCACTCTCTAGAAACTTCTCATAAACTGATGTTACGTGCCTTGAGGACCAAAGCATCAGGTTTATTTTGTGTGAGATATAGTAGTGACTTCCGTTGCAGAATGACCCTACCTCTTCAGCCCAGTTACAAGCAACTGGTGAAAATTCTTTGAGGATTTGGAAGCTGCAGACTCTGCAGATAGAGTAGCCTGCATGGCATTGGCAATGTCCTCAAAGACTGTCTGCGTGGTACATGGAAACACTGCCTTTTGTTTATTCCTGGAGGCAGTCTCCCAGCTTGATCTGCTCTGAGACTTTTGGAAACGGTATTATTCAGCCAAGCCCAAATGCCCTTCCTTAGCTTGCCCCTGTAAAGAGGAGAAAGAGATAGGGAGAACCAGAGACCAGATTTTAAGAGGCAGAGGTCAGTGGACTGGAGCCACTAGTCCCAAGGGGTTCCAGCGTGTGTGTGTGTGTGTGTGTGTGTGTGTGTGTGTGTGTGTGTGTGTGTGTGTGTCCTGGTCCTTGACCCCACCAGTCCACAGGAGCCCAACTGCCCCAGAACCATCAGCTCTGCTCAGAGAGAAAAGCTTGTGACAAGAATGAAGCTGTCCTCTACGGGAGAACCCCCGCCCCCTCATGGACCAACTGCAGCAGCAGCAAGCAGGATCCTTTTGCCTTCAGCCCCCTCTGTTTAAAGCAGTGTAACAGGGTGGGGGATGGGAGGTAGAACTCTGTGTCCCTGCTTATCAGTTTGTGGAAGAGTCCTTGCTACCCATTCCCTCCAAGAAGACATCTGAGTATGCATCATACCCCTATCCCCCACCCCCACTGGGTCCTGATAATCCAGGATGTCCCCCTTCCCCCACTGAGGCAGTGCTTCCTCTCTGGCCAGTTCTGTTCACCTCCCTAGAGGCTCTTGATTTATGCTGTTGAATCTGAAAAGCTAACCTTGGAGAAGGAAAGGAAAGAGAGAAAACCAGTCCCAGAGGCCAGAAGGGCTGGAGCCAGGATCAGAGCCCCTTGGAAGAGGGTACTTAGCTCAGCACTAGCTGACCACTGGCAGCAGCCTGGCTTTGGGAAAACTGAAGCTGCCTTCAGGAAAAGAAGCTGAGTTTGTACAAACGTCTCTGCTCAGGAAATGGGGTGCAGGGAAGGTGGGGGTGATTTGGAGCCCAAGGACAGGAGGGACTCTTCCTGGCGGATAAGGGGTCAAGAAAAGGGGCGGAAATGGTCAAGACAGCTGCTGAACATCTGGAGTCACAGAGAATTAATTATCCATCGCTCTGAAGGACAGTGGGGTGGGTGGGGAGCCCTCTCCTTCCTGGCTCTTTGAAGAGCTGCTCCATTGTCTCTGCCTGGCCCTGGATGAAGGACCTGGTGAGCTGTCCCTCCCCAGTGGGCTCTAACACCCATCCTAGGGTGATAAAGCTACAAATTATCCCTTCTGAACCTTCAGTCACAGTAAAAGCCTGTAACCACACACAGGACACACCTTTTGGGCGACATATCTTGTACATGAAAAGGAAAAAATGAGAGCCTAAACCCCATCAGAGCCTGAAGAGAAGATATACTAATTCTTACCCAGTACTGCTGCTGGCATCCCCTATACCTGACCCAAGGGAGTGGGTCAGTGGGAATGGACCAGTGTCGGAGCCTTGACAGTGATGAGGAGAATGGCCATGCTGCTTCCCACAGATCTCAGGGTGGGAGCAGATATGGTTAGAGTTCCCTGGGCTCACCACCTTCTTCTACAGACTGTGAGTGAACAGTCTCCATGGGGTTCAAGCCAAGGTAATGATCCTGAGTTGGTCTCTGGATTCCCAAATACAGTTTGAAGAGTTATTGTATGGTCGGGTACAGTCTCAATTCTGGCTTGGGAATCTCAAAGCAGAGGCTTTAGTTATTCTACTATGGAAGTATCCAGGGTTTTATATAAAGTGAATTTTATTATTGTTAATCAAAATTTAACATTCTAAATTCAGCCAGTGAGACATAGTGCTCTTTCTACCCCTCTCCTTGAAATTCTGAGTTAGTTACCTGCTCTGTCTTTTCACACTTTTCTCTGTTTGCCTACAAACATGCATATATACAAACCCTGCCCCAACCCCTTTTCTCTTTCGATAGAATTTCATGTATCCCAGGCTGGTCCAGATCTTGCTATGTAGCTAAAGATAACCTTGAACTTTTAATAGCCCCACTTCTGCTTCCCAAGTGCTGGAATTATAGATTATAGATGCATACCACCATACTCTATGTATCCACTGGAGAGCAAACTCAGAGTTTTTTGCACGGTAAGGAAGCAGAAAACTGAGCCTTATCCACAGCCTCTTATTTTGTTATTTCTGTTTATAGAAATAAGTTTAATGTACACTGTAGCTTGCTTTTCTTGACAATTATGAACTTCACTGCTGCTGGGGCAAGCTGTTGTAAAATTGTCCTGGGTATTCTGGTAATGTGCAAAAGAGTCTTCTAGAGCTTTCCCCTCTACAAACATGGCTGCAGTGTGTACAGGCACATTGTTTTCCAAGGACCCTTTCTTCTAGATGCTTTTTCTACATACTAGATCCCTAAGAGTATGTTGTTTTTATCAAAGGAAGTGTTCTTTTTGCTTGTTTGTTTGTTTGTTTGTTTGTTGTTGTTTTTTTCGAGACAGGGTTTCTTCTCTGTGTAGAAGTCCTGGCTGTCCTGGATCTCACTTTATAGATCAGGCTGGCCTCAAACTCACTGAAATCCTCCTGCCTCTGCCTCCCAAGTGCTGGGATCAAAGGCATGTGCTACCACTGCCTGGCTAAAGGGTGTGTTCTTAATGCCATGTGATTTGTTCAAATTGCTTTTGCAAAAGTTCTTCTCAACCAGTGAGTCTTTCCCACTCTAGAAGAGAACTTGTATTTGAAAGCTCTACACCACCCAGGGCAGCTCTGGACTTTTACTGTGTATCTTGTGTGTATAGATGTCATGGACACTGTCATGACCATTGACTAGAACAGCAGCAGAAGCCATTCTGCCCCATCAGTCAGAAGCCCATTGGGAGTCCTTCCCCTGCAGAGGACTTCTGATACCCTCCTGGTGATTAGATAGAAACTATGGTCTGGACTTGAGACCATCAGTCCTGGGTTTTGGAAAAGAGAGGCTATAAAGCTGGGCTGAGAGTAGATGGAAAGGTGGGTCATGGATATTTTTTTGGTACTTTTTTTTTTCATTACATTGATTGATTGATTGATTTTTTTTGGTGTGTGTGTGTGTGTGTGTGTGTGTGTGTAGGTTAAAAGACAATTTGTGGGAGTCAGTTCTCTCTTTTACCATGTGAGTTCCAGGCATTAAAACTCAGGTCATCAGGATTATTAGCAAGCATCTTTATGAGCTGAGCCATCTCACCAGCCTGGGTCACTAACCCTTAGTTGTTTGGCCATTTGGGACCTGAAAAACAGTAATAGAGGCTGAAAAAGAATCCAGTCAAGAGGGTCTCAGAAAAGAACTTGCAAGGAGACTCAACTCCATGAGGGGGTACCAAGATTCCCACAGTGAAAAAGTTATCCACATTTTTCCTGGCCTCTTGAAAGGAACTATGGGAAAAATGAAGGGTAGTGGGGCTCTATAAGTTGCTACAGAAGGGGTAGTCCATGTTAAGCTCGTGGAGAACTAAGGCATGACCTAAGGACCTTGCTCAGCACTCTGTCACTTTCCTCTCAGCTTGTCACAGCCAGAGTCACTGAAAAGTATGAACGCTGTGCTTCAGAGTGAAAAGTGAAGTCTGGTCTGGAGCCAAATCTACGCTGTACCCAGGTAGTGTTGACAGAGGCAAAGTGCTTTCTAGCTAAGTTGCCTGCCCTGTGCCTTCCTCCCTTGGGCCTGCAACTTGAATCTCCCTGGATGGTAGACTGAAAGCCAGCTTCCACTGAGGCCTAAGCATTCAGGACTACGAGTTCTAGGGTGACCCCAATCTGGGGAATGTATGGCCTTATAGCCATCTGAGTCCCAGGGAGGAGGAGAGAGCCAGCCCAGAGCCAAGCGCCTCTTGAAATGTGGACAAGCCTTGGATAGGCAGAGTTACCGCAGACCCACATCTGTGGCCTATATGATAGAGAGAAGACTGTGACCTGAGCCTCTACCGCCCTCTGGTACATGGTTGGGGGAGGGGGCTCACCTACCCAGCTTACTTTGAGCTGATCTAGGTTATGGCCCTCGCGGCTCCTTCTAAGTCACTTGTACAGATTAAAAATGGCAACTGTCCCAGAGCTGATCCCAGGGGACCCTGGAACTTGCCCCATCCCCCCAGGCACTCTCTGTTCTCAGCATTGGCCCCAGTCTAGGACAGCTGCTCCAGGGTTACAACTGGCTCCACTCCATCCACCTAGGCCAGGGAGCTGTAGTGGGGTCAAACCCACCACAGCCTGGATGGTAGGGGCCAGAATCTCAGGGCAAGCTCAGAGATACTGGCCTTTCTTCTCAGTCCCCTTTCTTCCTCTCTCCTCTGGGACCTACCCACCACGGGTAGTGTTAGCATTTAGGCATCTGCACTGGCCTGCCCTTAGGGTCCTGACAGGATAGTCCTCAGCTGCAGCCACTAAGAGCACCCTCTGTGCACACTCGCTACATTCTCTTATAAAAGGCAGGCCTTGCCCACCTCCTTTCTCTCTCTTTTTCTCTTCCTTTGCTCTTGTCCCCAGGGAATGGTCTCTGCACCCTTCTCTCTCCTCCCCTCAATAAACTTCCCACATGGGCCCACTTGTGTGGTGCCACTTCTTCCTGCCATTTTTAAAATACAGCAGGTAGGGGAACAGAAAAGAAAGGACAAAGGAGAGGAAAGGAGATTGGCCTGGAAGGTACCCACACCTTGATTCCTGTGGCTTCTGTATCTGGGATTTCAGGGTCAGGGCACCCACACCTACACACATCATATACCCCAGGAGGCACTTGGTCCAAGACTGGATCTGTGGGCCAGGAAAGTGTCTGGATCTTT